TAATAATAATAATAATAATAATAATAAGGCAGCTTTACTTGGAACAGCTTATATCCTGCAATGATACCTTGAACACCATCAAACAACCACATCTGCCCATCCCAGGTCCTTGGGAAGGACTCGATTGGTGGAGAAAAAGGCCAAATCCAGCCTAAACATCTGGCTGACTGGGCGACCAACCATAATAATTTGTGTAATTTATAGGGCCACCATAATGGGCAGACTTCCAAGTAGAAACTCAATAAAACTGAGAAAAAGGCAAAGGGAAGTTGGAACTGAGGGGAAAGACCCCGATGCTTGGAAACATGGAAAGGAATTGGAAAAGAGGCTAAAAGAAGGTGAGGTGGCCAGATGCTAGCCTGCATGAGCCAGGCAGGTGTTTAAAGAAGCTGTCACAGAAGACCATCCTGGTCAGATGGGATCTTGGGGGTCGCAATGAGTCGGAGGCGACTCAGCAACTGGACAATTTAACCCAGATTTATCACAGGGTGAGACAACCTGGTCTTCTCCAGATCGCTTGGACTTCCATATCCATCAGGCCCAGGCCATTCAGTCAGTAGCAAGGCATTCTGGGAGTTGTAGTCCAGAACAGCTGGAGGTCACCAAGTGTTCTATCTCGGTTGGCCTTTAGTTCACCGCATGAGATCATTACCCTGTGATGTTCTGAGCCATGTCAGGGCAGTGATTTTGAATTCCTCTCGTTTTTCATGCCCGCGATGCACCCAGGCACTCAAGGCCAACCGTCTCCTCCCATCCGCCTCCAGGTACCACCAGCTGTTGGGGCAGAAAGCCAGCCTGGAGTTGCGAGAAGTGGCATTGCAGGACCAGAAGGAACGGCTGGAGCTAGCTGAGCGACAACATCAGGATTTGGCCGAGCAACACGCCAACTTAAAAGAAGAACACGAGAGGTAAGGCTAGAAAAATGTGTCAGGAGGACACCAGGCTTACTGGGCCGTTTTGAAATCATCTGGCGGCTGGATGACCTCAAGGCTTCCTGTGCGTTCTCCGATTTTGATGATCAATACAGAGCAAAGCCGGTTGGTCTGAATTCTTTCCCCCACCATAAAACACGAACCACATCTACTTCTCTTTTAGCCATACTTCTTAGCCAGAATGAGCCAAAACTCAATCCCAGCGTTTCTCAACCTTGGTCACCCAGAATTCCCCAGCCAGTATTAATATCGCAGTATTAATAATACTGTTCCGGCTTACATACAAATTCGACTTAAGGACAGACCTTGGGAACGGAACGCGTTCTTCAACTGGGGAATCTCTGTATTGTATAATATTGCCTAAGTCAGGGTTTCTTGACCTCAGCAACTTTAAGATGTGTGGACTTCAACCCCCAGAATTCCCCAGGCAGCCTGCTGGCTGGGGAATTCTGGGAGTTGACGTCCACACATCTCAAAGTTGCTGAGGTTGAGAAACCCTGGTCTAAGTAATATTGTGTAATGAACTTGAAGCCTTGTGTATTTAACTCGAATTTTGCTGCAGTAGACTCCGTTCTTAACTACGGGTCATCCGTAAACTGGGCGTTCTTAACCTGAGGACTCCATATAGGTTCAAGGAGGGGAGGGCTCCTTCAGTAACAGGATGGCCCTTCCCAACTTCTGCAGGATCAAACAAGCATTGGTCCAGACAGAACGGGCCCAAGATGACCTCCAGGGTGAGCTTCAAGGAATGCGGAACCGGGTGACCGGCCTGCAGCTGGAGCAGGCGAAGCTGGAGGCCGAAAGCGCTGCCCTGAAGGAGCAGAACCAACAGCTGGACACGGCCCTGGGGCGCCTGAGCACGCAGTGCGAGGTCAGACTGCCCCGTCCCCTTGCCTTGCCTTGGGAGAGAAGGTAGATCAGGGGTTGCCAGACACCCACCTGGATTCCCAGCACCCAAGGGTTGACCAACGGCCAACCGCTTTCTCCCACACAAATAACTGGCTGAAAATCATGTCTGGGGCTGGGGGGGAGGGAACTCAGAGTGGATTTTGGAGTGAACTGGATTACAAGCCTAGTTCTGCCATGGTCTGGACCCCCTTGGCAGAGGAGAGTCAAGATGGCAGCCACGCCTACCCAATGGAAACCCCCACTGCTTTTTTACGTGCAGGGCTTGGACCATATGGCGATGGCCACCAACTTGACTTTTTTGACACCCCCCCCCTTTCTGCAGACACCCCACCTCTTGGTGTCCATTGATAACACTCCACATCCTAGCAGAGGGAGTCATTAATAGGGGGCCACAGTGACCACAATAGATGGTCCACGGCTAGTCTGGTTGGGTGAAAGAAACCAAGACCAACAAAGCATTGTCCTTTTCAACAAGGTTCCTTGACTGTGAACATCTGGCGGTGAGTTTGCTGTCACCCGGATATCAAAACTCCATCGCTGATGCTCCGTCTGGTGACGGGATGTCTGTTCTTCTCTGTAGCTCCTGGTCCAGTTGAAGGGCAAGCAGGAAGAAGAGAACCGGCACCTGCTGCAGGAGATCCAGATGTTGAGCAAGGAGAACCGGCAGCTGCTGGAGCGCAGCATGGAAAATCGAGAACATTTTCAGGAAGAGCAGCGTCAATATCAGTGAGTTGCCAAAACTGCCGCTGGGTGAACAAAGAGGAGCAATTCGATAGTTGTTGGGTTGGTTTTGAAACACTTGCAAAAACTTTCTTAAATAATATGTCGATATTTCTCTCTGGTTATCCGATTGGATGCTCAAAATGGCCTGCAAGAAAACGCCTGCTGGTTCTGCTCACACGTTTAATTGGGACAGGGGACGAGGAGGGGTTAAGGTGTGGTGCGAAACCCTAAACCAAGGAGATTAATGTTACTAATTCCCCCCTCAGCCATGGCATCTGAAGTTTAATGAAGGTGGGCTGCTGAGCAATTCTCCTAGTCAGTGAGAGGAAGTCCTAGAGAAGCCCTGCAAAAGTAAAATGGCGACAGATAGAACTTTTGCAAGGCTGCTCTAGGAACTCTATCTCTCTTGTCATTTTATCCTTGCTCTACAAGTAATGGGACATTGGAAAGGGGGCAACAAATAACGTGGCAAGACATTGACTGTTCACGGTTTTGCCGGAGATGGTCAGCTCACAGCCAATTTTAAAAATGTCCTTTTTATTCTGGTGGGAAAACAGGAAGAAGCAGGGAGCGACAATCTCCCAAGGCTTCTTAGAAAGGCTTCTTCTTAGAAAGAAGACCTATTTCCTCCCAATAGTTCTTGTCCAGTATCAAAGAGATGAAACATAGATTGTGGTGCAAACTTGTTCTCTGCTGCTCCAGAAGTGCCACCGAAGCAGATTTCCTACACAAACGAAGTAGATGGTCTTCAAAATACCTTCTAACCCTACAGTTTTGGAGAACCATCCATGTTGGGATCTGGGGGTTCTTCTTTCAACAGTCCAGGCTACAAAGCCTGCTCCAGATCATAACCCCCCCCCCAATTTTTTGTTCCACAGGGACAAATTAGGTGAATTGCGTCGAGAGAAGCAGAAGCTGGTGGAGAAGATTATGGATCAATACAGGGTGTTGGAGCCAGCTCTTCCTCGTGGCAAGTAAGTCTGATACCCAGAACGTGGCACACGCTCGCTTCCACCAACGGTGCAAAGAAGCCAGATGTATGTCATGTAATGGATGATCATGTGTTGAGTGACCAGAGTAGGGGCGACTTTGGCACACGATGGGAGGGCCTTCATGACCATACCCTTTGGCCCTGTCTCCCTCCTGCCCAGGTGTAGCTTCTGGTTATGGGTTATGTGGTATTTCTATTGCCATCACTCTCTTCCCTTGACCAGCTTTGGGGAGTGATGGGGCTCTCACCACCTATGCAATTGACCCACGTGAAAATTAATTGGGAAGGAGATGAAGGAGAAGAAAGAGATGAAGGAAAAGGAGAAGGAGGGAGGGAGGGAGGAAGGAAGGAAGGAGGAGGAGGAGAAAGAAGAGAGGGATGGATGGATGGATGGATGGATGGATGGATGGATGGATGGATGGAAGAAGGAGAAGGAGAAGGAGAAGGGAAGGAGAAGGAGAAGGAGAAGGAGAAGGAGAAGGAGAAGGAGAAGGAGAAGGAGAAGGAGAAGGAGAAGGAGAAGGAGGAGAAACCAATTCTGTAGTGTCAGCTCCTGGCCCTGATAGCTCTGAGGCATCCAGAGAACAGGAACCGTGTCTTGCTTTGAGGATATGAAAATAAGAGCATCACATCTTAGACAAGCTTGACTTGATGGAAAGCTAAAACAGGAGGCTGCTTCAGACCAACCTTCACTCATCTCAAAACCAATTTTGAATCCAGCTGGGAGAGCAGCAGAAAAGCCCAGGATTGTCATCTAGTCTAAGAAGTCGGGGGGGAAAAATCCTGAAACAAAGTACCGGCTAACTCATTCTGTACCCAGGTCCAGAAAACTTGTGCGGACGTGTCCATGCCGGCCTGTTTGACCTGAAAAAAGTTTCTAATTTTTTCCCCTTCTCCTCTTCTTCCTCCTTCTTCTTGCGGGCTAGGAAGAGTAACTGGATTGCTGGCAAGATACGGAGACTGATGCGGCTTCGCCGAGAGCAGCCGCGCCCCATGGCTGAGGGAGCTGGCAGCAGCAGCGAGAGCCTGACAGGGCAAGAGGAGCATGGGTTGGATAGTAGAGGTGAGGCCTCGACAGATTTGTCCAAAGAACTCCTGGGAGCGTGTCCCCCAAATGATATTCGTAGGAAGGATTTCCCTAAATTGTACATTTCAGAAGAAAAGCAGTCGTCTGACATCCTGGTATCTTGGCTTTCAAGTCCCATCAGCCTCAGCCAGTGGTAAAGGCTTATGGGAGCTGTAGTCCATGGTGGGTGCAAGGTTGCTCCCTCCGCTCGGGGAAACAGGGTAGACAATTGCATATGGCTGGGGATTTTGCACTAAAAGAGGCGGACAAAAGAGCTCCCTCAAAGGGTTGTTTGCATTCCAGATCACGGATCGGATTTTGTATTCGGTTCCAAGCGATTCGGCCGCCTTCGCTTTCCGATTAAGTTCTGGTTTTCGTAAAGCAGGCTTCTGATCCGGAAAGCTGCTGTGTGGGGCTGAGAAAGACGGTGGGCATTCCTGCTGAAACCTAAGGAGGGGTGGTGAAAGATTTCTCAGCAGGGGAAAAGGTTCTGGAGCGACGCTGCTTTAGGGTTTGAGTGAAAATCAAATAGCGAGAGGTCAAGCTAGGGAAAAATTGCCCGTTCTGGAGTCGAACTTCCCTCGGGGGCATCCAGTTAAGTAAATGGCCACCATTGACCAAATGCAAGCAGCTGATCTGCGCGCACGGCTGCCAAATTCTGTTTTCTTGGTGGAGGTTCATTTGCAGCCCAGATGATGCGCTGAGCGCTGACGCCCTTGGCTTCCAGACTCAGCTTCCTTGCAAGCCACCGATTTCACTTCTAGCGTCGTACGTTTGCAACGTACTCGGCTCTCACCAGCTCACCATCTTCCAAGTTTGCCCTGTTTTCTCCAAAAGCTTCCAGCTGTCCCAGCTCGCCGGCCCTTCTCCGCAAAGCAAGCAGCGTCCTCAGCATCCCGGATGGTCAGCAAGCCCATTTTCGCCGCTGCCGGTTGAGTTCCCGTATGCCGGCGGCCGAATCCTCGGGCTTCAGGGAGGGAGAGGACCAGGACACGCCCCGGCAGCGGTTTCGCCAACGCCGAGTTGGTATATTGTGGGGTTCCCTCGAAGAACCTGTGGTTCCTGCAGGAGAGTCAGAACCCCCAAGCCAGATGTCCACAGCCAGCAAGGAGCAAAGAGGTGAGATGAGATGAGCAGCTGGCCCTGGGCGGCAATGGGATTTAGGATACTGCAAGCAGGGAGTCCTCAAAACGTAGCAAATCTGCACCTGGGGCCAGATCAGCTTCTCAACTCACAACTTCCACTTAATTCTGGAAGGAAACCCCCTTAGAGGTCGTTCTCGTTTAGCGACTACCTCGGACAGCGACCGTTTGCAGTTACAACAGTGACGAAAAAGTAACTTTGTGACCAGTCCTTGCATTTACGACCTTCCTAGCGCCTCTCTCTCTCGGTCACGTTTGCCATTACAGTCAGTATGCATTGTCCTGTGCCAGACCGTTTTTTTTCTCCCCCCCTCGCAGAGTGGAGAGATCACCTAAACAAGCTGTCTCTTCCCAAGCTCCTTGTGCTAACTGCAAGTTAACAAGCTCTGTGATTTTAGTTGATTAGGACCCTCCCTCCAGCTCACAGCTGCTGCCCAAAACTGACAAGATCCTAATCAGTTTCACACTGAAAGTTTTGTTTGCCTCCTAAGGAAAGCTAAAGTAAAATGGTAAACACAGTTGTGGTCATGTGATTCTCACTTAGTGACCGCTTCACTTAACAACCCATTGCGGTCACTAAACGAGGACTGCCTGTAATTCTGACCTCAGAAATGGCTCGATTTGTACAGCTTCTTTTGGGGATTTCTTTTCTCAACTCAACATAGTTTTCTTCCAAAGCCATAATCTGAGAATTGAGCGGTGGCTGTGTTTCCATCTTCTTCCCCTTTTCCCCTGGGTGGGGAATTCCGGGAGTTGAAGTCCACACATCGTAGCTGTTTTTGCACAACATTCTACTTTAAACCTTCGTTAGGTTCTCCCCCACCCTGATAGCTTCACATGTTGTGGAAATCCTGCTGACTTATTACGTTACGATTCAGGTTATTGCCTGCACTCAGAACATGGGTTAATTCAGCAAGCAAGTTAACTGGGTTTGTGAGTGCTGCCCTTGTATGGTGGAAGATCTGATTCTACGAATGAAAAAGCCCAGATCTGTCTGTGTGTTTTCCAAGCACGTTTTAGTGTCCCATAAGATAAATATCATGGCTTTGCCACCTCCTGGGGCCAGAAAAGAAAACAAGAAAGCATATAGGGAGTTAAGATCTGGGGTCTTTAAGGCCATCCCTCAACCTGATTTCAATAACTCTCAGCAATCACAGGATTCTCACCTCTGCTGAAAAAAAAAAACTTGTCCCTTGCAAACTTATCAGACTGGTTCTAATTCAGACCAGGGCACCCCTCGCAAGAACTGAAGCCGAACTAATTTAACAGCCCAGGTTTCGGTGGCTCGACTTCTTTTATTGATATTTTATATATCAAATTTGTCACCACCCACCTCATTAAAAAGGGACTCTGGGCAGTTGACCGCACAGATACAAGCAATCGAAATACAATACCAAAGCCGTCTTAAATAAATAATAAATACATTCCAAGAATGGGTGGAATTGGCAAGGAGCTCAGGGAGTGTCATCAGGGCGCCAGCCACCCCCAGCATTGAGGATCACTGTTATTGTTATTCTTTTGCAAAGAAGAAGGAATGAAAAAGGCATGGAACGGCGCGTAAGCGTGCATTTCTTTCAGGACGGCCACCCGAGGAGGAGGATCAACTCCAAGGTGTCTATTGTGATATTTCTGGAGGAAATCGACCTGGGAAAGAATGCAAGCTCTAGCAAAGCCCCGGTGGTGGAGACTGGTGCCGTGTCTCTGACAGTTGTCTCATTTCCTGAAGGATGAGCCCTGCATGAAAACAAGGCCTTCCAGTCAGGGGCGGTGCCCGTCAGCTGCCTGGATCTGCCTTTCTGCTCTCACCCCCAACGAACCAAACCCCTGTGGATTTTCACCCCCCTTCCGAAGCTTCTTGAAGCAAAGTGGGTTTCCCTTCTTGTGGCAGTGAGTTCCGAAGGTTGCAGCCGGTGCAAAGTTACCGCAGTGAGATACGGCCGGTCTGCGAAAGCAAATACGTGGGGCGCAATCCTATTTGCATTGCATTCATTGGCTGACCTGTGAATTAAATGTAATTAAATTAATTCCTATTTAGTGTTTGTCCTGGCCCTCTTTGCTTTGGGAAGGGCGTGGAAATTGTATGCAGCCCACGGTTAAAAGCAGCTAAAATTTTCATCTGAGCAAGTCCAGCCTGACACAAGTTACAGGGTTATCGTGGCCCTAAAAGAACAGAGGCAGAAATGCAGTGTCTTGCCACCCAGCCATACTGGACTACCATCTTATTTATTCAGCATATTTATTTATGTTTATATTTATATATTTTTATTGATTTATATCGATTTATTAAATGTATGTGCCGCCCATCTCCCCCAGAGGGCGACTCTGGGCAGCTCAGAATGTATATATTTATTCCTGATCTATCTAAGAGAAAAAAAAAAGTGTGATGAGAACTGGGGGGAAAAAGGCCAGGTTTGCAGAGAAGTTCCTTCTTTTAATGAATTTTGCAAAGCTTCCCCTCTTTGGACAAGCCACATCCAATTTGGTATTTTCTCCACGTGGTGAAAAGGAACTTCCTAGAATTTCCTAGCCTACAGCCCACCTGCCCTCTGGGAATTCTAGGAGCTGCGTGGGCAAGGCACCCGGAGGGTGCCAGTTGAGGGGTGATTGATGCAAACTGCCAAGTGCAATTCAGGAAAGGATACAGATATGCCCCAGAGTTGAGTTTGATTGGCAAGAGGTCTTATCTAACGCTGCACTCGTTTCCTCTGCTATGACGGCAGGCCTAACAGACCTAGGGCACCCAGAGGGGCAGAAAAATAGTGAAGGGAGGAAACAGGGCCCTTAAAGATGCTCTGAAGTCCAGGGGAAAAGGGAAATGTGAGAAAGAACCTCAGAGTAATTCCGCCTTAATCACACTAGGTATAAGTTGTGTGAGACACTTCCCAGCAGTGGAGATAAAGGACGGGGAATTTGTTTTCTCTGTTTTCTTGCACCAATACTTCCTTCCTGTTTTAAGAACTGTTGCATTCAGATGATTTGAACGGCTTCTCTGCAGTTTCTCCCTGACCTTTCTAACCACCATGCGTCAGCTTTAAGAGAGTACGCACCAATCCTGGCAACTTCATTTTTTTAGGTGGCAAAATCAGTTCTTTTTCAGGAGTCAGTTGTGGCATATATGGGGAGGGCAAATTCATAATCTGAAATGATTTTGAACTCGTGTAATAGTCACAAAGGAAAGATGGTTTATTTTGCCCCGAAGGTGGGATGATCCCATTGTTCGGCACCTGGGGTTTGAAACTAAACTCTTCCCAAACTTTCTGTCGGTCACTTTGCTGGAAATTGGGTGAGCAGCCAAGCTTTAGCAAAGCTGAATTGCTCTGGATCCAGGCATTAATTCTCAGGCCTTCGAAATGAACTTTTTGAACTTATTTTTATAGTCTCAAGAATTCCTGAAGTTCTGCTAGAAATAATTGTCAATGAAAGGAAGGAGAGGCAAGGAAGAGACATTTAATTCCCTAATACCTAACCCCTTATTGGATGCAAGAAATTATAAGGTCAACAGGTGAAGATGTGAATCCAAAATACAGTAGCAGGAAGGTGCAGTGGCTTAAAGAGATTGTTTTTCTGGATTCATAACCCAACTATAAAAACAATAAAGACTGATTTATCACGGGGTAAATTTTCCTGGACTATAATCTACTTCAGAAGACAGAAGGAAGAGTAGTATGTATGGGGTAAGGTGGAGGGGCCCCAGCAAAATGAATTCAAGAGGTGAAAATTACTTATTATAGTGGCCATTCACAAAACAAGTTTTGTATGTGGAACAGAGCCATGATGACACCAACGAAGCTTTCTGTTTGTCTCCTGCAAACAGGCACGCATGGGTGGAAATCCACTTGCCAACTGGAATTTCAGATCGTTCCCATTATCCACTGATTCGATAATTAACTATCAACTGATTTTCAGGCAGGATATTGGAGGGTGGGGAGGGGGGATCGGGGCCACCGGAGAGTTAAATATAGTATTTTGCACCCTGCTAACCGCCCTAACTTCCGGGGTCCGGGTTTGAACAGAAAGATCCGGATTCTGCCAGGTTGCCCCCCGAGTCCGGTCCCCAACCTCCGCTGAGACTTTCCCCGGCTCCGTTCCCAACCCTCGCAGCCTGTCCCATCCTCGGAGCAACGTCCCCCTCGTTGCAACGCGCGTCGGCCTGCTTGCAGCACCCAGACAAGCCCCCCGCGGCTCCGGAGGCTCCCCGGGAGGGCCCACCGTCGGGTGCACGGCGCTGCACGCGGGGGAGACCCCAGCGCCCCGACCGCCCCTCCAAACGCGCGGCAGCTGCGCGGCCGGCGGTG